CACAACATACCAGTCCTCTGGTTCAACACCCAGCGACTGGAACCCGGCCAGTCAAGCACGTTATCTTGACATGTGCTCCAGCGTCTAGTTGACTATATTTTTAGCTTTGTGCATAAACAAACTGCGTAATGCTGTTTTCAGCCCTCCATAGTGCGTAAGCAATGCTCTGCGATCGATAGGAATGTCGTTCCGCAATGTACGGATGTCACGGCAATGCGTGCACATGCATTTCGTTGCCGCACCCATTTTACTATTCCCTGAGTTCTACTCAACGGTTTCTCAATTTGGTGAGGTTTTGATTTGTCTACAAATATACAGTACTAATGAGACTACGAATGGATCGGTAAAAGCAGCCTGGTTATGTTCCACGGTCGTCAGAGATGCAAGACAGCAGAAATATATGGGTACTGTCCCTACTTCAGTAGGATAGGAAATAGTCCTATTGGCAGTCAGGAGACACGTGACTGCTGACATTCGAGCAAAGGTGGAACGGTCCCCAAAAGATTATCACGCGTAGCAAAATGTCCTTCATAAAATTTTCTTTTCAGTCACTTCTTGCGAATGTTTTCATGTCATGACATGGATTGTCCTATCACTGGAGAAACTGGGTGTCTGTCGAGTTTCCTTAGGAACATTAAATCGAGCAAACTTGCATAATGACGAAACCTTTTCGCTCAACCAGTGTCCTTATCTTTGGAAAATTATTTCAAACGCCACCAATCATAAGCAATAGGTGATGCCTCACAGAGAAGCAAGATTTTAGTGAAGCAGTAACGCATAATTTTGCCTGAATATTATTTAATTCTTCTTCAGGAAGGTCTCAGTGTGTCTTCATCGATATCAGCTGTTCAGCCGCGGCGAATGTCTGTGAAGATTCGTACACTTCAATGCTGGAAAGAACAATACGCTGAAGTTCGAAACATTTTGGCTAACTTTTATATCTTTACTTATTAGAGCACTTCTATTTCGTTAGTTTGTGCAAATCGTTTCAGTGCTGTTATGAAAACTTTTCCTTATCCATAATCCATATTTTCATATGCTGCATGTAAAAATAGAATATCTAAAAATATTCGTCTAGTAATCTCCTGTCAATTCTCCGGATTTACACATCTTAGTGTCTGCTTCCCTTGATTCTAGTTACCTAGGGCACTATTTAAGCACATCATAGCTCAATCGTGTTTTATCACCTGCGTGCGCACAAATCAGTAATTCTCGTTCGATCGAACAAACTTATATCCGAACAACACGATGGAAAATGTCTCAGTCCGTAGGCATAAAAGCCAAACAATGACCGCGGCATTATCGGTTTGCTAGAGAACGATACTCCAGGCTACTAGAAGCAAGGGAACATACGCTACTCTGTGTAAATTTAGAGAAGTATCAGGAGAATGTTCCTTTTTCCGGTAGTATTGAAAACTATGACTTTGTTGGCAAATACATAATACCGGGACTATATCTTGGTATTTAAGCCTTATATTATTGACCAGCACCTCTCTGCATCCTTTGTTTAAATATTTAGCCCGTGCTGGTGTTCAGCTGACAGTACGCTTCAGCTCTGTGTCAGTATTTTGGAGCTGTTTCTATTTTTTCTGAGCTATGCGATATTTTACCAATGTGTCATTGCAAAACCATATCAAAATCATTAAAAATCACCTCAAGACTCATTGTCCTCTATTAAATTATTTAGCATAACATAGTGATGAATTGGTTGTACTAT